CTCCTGCTCCTCCTCCTGCTCCTCCTGCTCCAAACCTTCACCGCGGTGGTTCCTCACATGGACTTTAACTCCCTCATGCACTGAAACAAATAAGATGAAATCATGTTATTCATAAAAGTGAGAGGAGGAGGAGGAGGAGGAGCAGGAGGAGAGAGGAGGAGCAGGAGGAGCAGGAGGAGGAGGACGGAGACTCATAATTGTTCAATAATTAACTCTCAGAGCGTTTTTCTCTAAAATGGACTGATAATGAAAACGCAGCAGAGCACCAGGAGGAGGAGAGAGGAGGAGAGGAACAGGAGGAGGAGAGAGGAGGAGAGGAACAGGAGGAGGAGAGAGGAGGAGAGGAACAGGAGGAGGAGGAGAGACCGTCTCCACTGACGTACAGATCTGTGTGTTTTTTAAAGACAAATATCTGATCATGACTGAAAACACCAAAACGACTTTAATCTGCTGATTCACAGCAGAGAGGAGAGCAGGGAGAGGAGCAGGAGGAGGAGGAGAGGAGAGCAGAGAGGAGAGCAGGGAGAGGAGCAGGAGGAGGAGGAGAGGAGAGCAGGGAGAGGAGCAGGAGGAGGTGTATGAGTGTCAGTGTGAGTCTGAAAAGCCAAGGGACAGGAGAACTAATGAGCCGAAAAAAGAGAGAAAGAGAGGAAGAGAAAGGGAGAGAGGGAGAGGGAGAGAGAGAGAGAGAGAGAGAGAGAGAGAGAGAGAGAGAGAGAGAGAGAGAGAGAGAGAGAGAGAGAGGGAGAGAGAGAGAGAGAGAGGGAGGGAGAAAGAGAGAGAGAGGGAGAGAGAGAAAGAGAGGGAGAGATTGTTCCAGATTAAAATAAATTCAAGGTCAAAGCTCGACCTTGAAGAAGATAAAACAGATTAAAAAAAAAAAACGACTCCAGATTCTCGTTCAGAGTCAGGATCTCAAATCGTAAAAAAACTACGAGTGAAGTTTAGTTCTGAGTCTGTGGAGTCCAAGTTCAACCTTCTCACACCCTGAAATCTAAAGTTGTTTTTATTATTAGCCCAGAGTCGACTGAAGAGTCTGACTGAGACTAAAGCTTTGTGATTTTTTTTTTATAATAAACTCTCTACATTTGTACTTTTCTTCAAACCTGCTGTTGAATTAAAAGATCATTTTGACTTTATTAGATGTTGTTTTATTGGTCAAGATCATAACGTGGATTTTATTGCATTAATTTGATTCCAAAATTTAAATTCCTGAGAAGTTTTTCATGTAAAATAATAAAACTTTAGATGTGTGATTGAAAATAAAATTACAGAAATGAAGTTTGAATCCTTCAGTTAGAAACAGGAAACACCGACTGTGGAGATGTTGAATATATTCGTGTTAAAAAGCGTCGTATTTTTAGGTGAGCTGTGAAGTCGACTCAGCTGATCACAGTAAATGATGATAAAACGAGGATCAGGGTCAGATGAAGAAGGAGGAGGTGTTGGATGAGAAGTAAGCCGCCCTGAAAAGTAGATTTAGACTCTGAGTGACGGGTAATTATCCCGGGTTTGAGGTTCATGTTGGTCGATGTAAGAGGACAGCTTAGCATGCTGCTGTCTTTGAAGCCGAATCAAACCCTGACGTCTCTCCTGAACACTGTTTGTGTGAAGTCAGATCAAGCGATGTGAAAATCACAGAAACAGGCGCTCAACACAAACCCTTTCTCCTGTTTGCCATCAGCAATTAGTCTGCTCCGCACAGACCCGCCTCCCCGCTCCGCACAGACCCGCCTCCCGCTCCAAGGCTTGTTGTTGGGAAATCCAGCAGCCCTCCAACCCTTTTGAAGAAACGGGGAAACGGAGCGCTCCGTCCTCGTTTACCAGGAGTCACTTTGAGTTCTCCTCATCTTCGCACGTGTCGGCTGTGATTTCAGTCATTTTTCCGCTCCTGCTTACGCTCGCCCGTCTTTCTCGTTACCTCCATCTCACCTCCTAATATCTGTCATCCTCACTCCTCCTTCCTTTCACTCTCCTCCTTTTTCTCCGCCTCTCCTCTTTTCCTGCAAACATCTAAAAATACCACGCCATCCTGATAAGTGTTTCCTTCTTAACGTCCTCCGTCTCTCCTTCTCCACGCAGCCCGTCCCCATCGATGATCACTTCTGCGGCCTGGATATAAACCAGCCCCTGGGAGGTTCTCGGCTGGTGTCGGGGCAGACGGTCTTCACGGAGAGCAGGGACAGACTGACCTCTGTCACCTCCTACGTCTACAACGGACACTGTGTGGTCTTCCTGGGGACGAAGAGCGGACGTCTGAAGAAGGTGAGCGCGGTTTACAGAGGAGGAGTGTGGTTGTTGTTGTTGTTGAGGGTCAGATCTGATCTTCTGCTCTTGATGATCGTCTCTGTGAAACACACCCACACTTATCTACTCCAAACACACACACAGTCATTCGTACCTCCAGCTCCTCCCACATTTATCTTTGGGTTCGAGTCTCTAAAGGAGAAACGACCTCCGCGTCGATGTTCGCTCCTCGGGTTCCTGCAGCGACGCAAACGTGTCTCATGTTGTTCAATGTTGTCATCGTTGTCAACGCCTCTGACTGCGGTTCATTCAGGAGTTTATGGATCAATAATACTTTAGGATAATATAGGGGAGACCGGGTCGGTTCTTTCACTGGTTAATTACAGCTGAACATAAAGGCGCTCCGTCGTTAAAGGGTCAGTCTGATGTGACGTTTATTTTTCTGTATCCTGATCAGAGACTGACTCTAGAACAGACGCCGTCTGCCTCCTCTCTCTGAGAACAGCGCCCTCTGGTGACGGGCTGCAGTATAGGTCATAAACCCCGCCTCCTTATGGAGCTGTGGACAAACTTTATAAATGAATGACACAGAATATAAATGTTTCTCCCCCCTGGTTGTGATGTTGACATGTAGTTACTGATTTACAAGAATATAAAAACCTGCAGTATTTTATCACAAGATCACAAGCTTTTGTCTAATATGGCGATGAACACGATCAGTTGTAAAAAGGCCGCGGTCCCCCCCCGGAGTTTCCTCTTCAGGGTAAAAACCTCCAGCTGACGGTTTTTCTGCGGGTTTCCAAACTAACAACTAGAAACAGAAGAAAAGTCGATGATCTGGAGAAGAAAACACGGATTCTTCAACAATAATGAGTGAAAAACTCAGATTTTACATTTATAACATGATCACTGCTCGATATAAGAAAAAAAACCTCTTTAAAGGAAACGTCTCAGAACGACCTTTGACCTCATCACAGATCAAACATGAGCCAAAGGTCATGTGATTCACTCTTCAGCCAACTCAACATTATCTTGGATCCTCATGTTTCTGAGTAATAACCCAGAAAATCTGTCGACTCTGTGAGCTCCAGAGTTTTTCACGTTACTCTCCATGAGTGGGTGTTGGCATGAATTCACCCCGTCACTGAGATCTCCTCTGTTTTCCCCCTTAATGCTGCCAGACCACAGAGGAGCCGGGTTTGAGTTTGTTACAGAAGAACAGCCAAAGCAGAATCAGTGTTCATGAACCCGTTTAACTCAGAACTTCAGGATCAACGTGAAACAAACGTCTGAACGGAACAAAGAGCGTCTCAGGCTTTTTGTCAAGTTATATTTAAATGTATGAAATCTTAATGTACTTGACATGAATTTTACATGCTTATAAGCATAATGTGTTATTTATATCATGTTTAAAGATTCAGGTCAAACCTGAAAACATGTTGACATGATGAGGTAAAGAAAACTGACCAGAGTCTGACCATCAGAAATAAAGAGACGAATCACCGGGTAAATTCAGTGCAGCAGATGTAACGGTACTCTGGGTTTTAGTTTGTTTGTAAAGCATCTAAACTAAAATGCAAAAAAAAAAAACTACATTTCCCATAATGCACTTTGGCGATACTCTTTTTCTGCCAGACTTTACAAATCGTAAAAATCACAGTAAAAAATGTTTCTGTGCTGTTCTTAATGTAAAAAAAAAAAAGGTGTAATGTCCCTTTAATTCCATAAATCTGGTTAAAGGTTACGACTAACAAACTCTACGTAACATCATAGATCCAAACATCGCAGACATAGATCACCCTCAGCTGTTTTTGAGGCTCACCTCCACGCCACGTTTAATGACCTTTAATCCATTAACACTAATTAATGCAATAATGCCATCAATTAATTGGCCAATTAGCATAACCAGCAGGCTTTAATGTATCAGGGTGATTACAGCATGACGTGATGCTGCTGAACAAAGGTTCAGACGGCGCTTCCTCTCCTGCTCGGTGAATCTCCATCGGTGAATCCTGGAGTGAATCCTGAGCGTCAGTCCTTCTCGTCTTTTCCGTCTCAGCTGTATTTGTATCAGCGACGGGACATTATGCAGCTCTAGTGCCTCTCGTTGAACGCTCTCCAGGTGGATCTCTGCTCTGAATGGCTGTTAGCGTCACGGAGGACTTAAAGGACCACTTCACTGATATGAAAATGACCTCTGAGAGCTCGACGTGAAATTAAACATGTTTACAGACTCCATCAGACCGTTGAGCGATCAAAGAGCGCAGACAGCAGCTTCACTTCAGAGACAAAAATCTGTGTCCAAACAAGATTTTAGATCCACAGAAATTTACGGTAAAATACTGTTTTATATCCTTCATTTCACCGTTTATAGAACAGCCACTAAAGTTTCTGATTTTTAACCGTTTCCTGTCCAGAAACGTCAATCATCCACGAGTTCGTTTCTCTGATTCATGAGTCAGACGCTCGCTCGCTCACACTCGTCCCTCTGTTATCGTCCCAGAACCATTAAAAACTATGAATGAGGAGCCTCTCTGTTACACTCAGCCACATGTTTCATACAAATACACTGTTTACTGTAACACACACACGCACACACACACACACACACACACACACACACACACACACACACACACACACACACACACACAGCAGAAAATAATCCACGTTTTTTTACTTCCATTTGGTGACATTTCCTGCGACCTGCTGGGACCAGCTGTTTTAGGAAATCACTCAGCTTTAGCCCTTCTTTGAAAATGAAAGTGTTCTCCTCCTCCTCCTCCTCCTCCTCCTCCTCTTCTGTTTTTTATAAAGATTTAAGTCCGCGGGAACAAAAGGAGGCTGAGTGCCGCAGACCAGCTGGGGAATTCCAAACGCATTAAGAGATTGAGCGAAGGC